TGCTGCAAGGCTGAGCAGTGCTGAAAATGAAGTTAACTCTGTCCTGCCTGGATCGTCTTCGTATCCTTTGCCGCGGGAGGTTCCTCGGGCATCGGCTGGTGAGTTTACTAATTTTTCTTCTTCTCAATCTGGGGGTTCCTCCCTGGGGGGGTTTCTGGCAGGGCTTCAGGGTTTTCTTGATCACTGGGAGCAGGGTGCGCAAGCAGGTAGGGTCCCCCTATTAGATGGCCAGCTTCGGTCAGTGTGGTCCTCAGCGCTGCAGCCACAGGGGGTTCTAGCGTTTCCTGGGGTCACAGGGTCCCCCTCTTCCGGGTTGGGTGGCCAAACTGGCACCCCTGCTATGGCATTGGGTGCCTAGGCACCGGCGGTGGCTGGGGGGTCCCTGGCATCGCGTGACCCCCCGGGTGTTGCGGATGTTGCACGTGGGTCCACCTATATGTGTTGGTCAGGGCCCTTGGGTGTGCACTTGAAACAGGAGGTTCGGGAAAAAATTTGGAGGGGGAATTTGTTGAGATTTTCTCCCTCCTTCCTATGGAGGAGGCTCCTCCTTTACTGGAGAAGGACGGGAAAGACTCAGACAAAGACAGGGAGAAGTACCGGTACCGGAAGATTCCTAAGACTTTCGGGAATTGGATTTGCGCATTTGTGATCCTGGCCAGTGTGATTGGGGAAAGGGCTCCGCAGAAGTGCTCCGCATTGTTCTGCTACCAGGATACCATTTGGAACGCTTGTCGTACCTATGGTGGTCTGGGGTGGTGGAAATATGACGAGCAATTCCGTCAACGGTTAGCGGTGCGCCCCTCCATTTCATGGGACCAGATGGACATTGGCCTCTGGCTCTCCATTATGACCCGCCCAGCCCCCCAGCAGGGTGGGGTCTCGTCTTTTCTCGGGGGGGCCGGTGGGGGGAGGTCCTCCTCCTCATCGGCCGCGCATCAGAGGCCAGGCTGTTGTTGGAAATTCAACGCCAGTCACTGCAAATGGGGGACATCTTGCCGATTCAAGCATGAATGTTCCACCTGTGGGGGAACCCATCCCATCTCCCGCTGCTTCAAGCGGGGCAAAGTGGGCGAGAAAGGGGATTTGGGGTCAAAGGGCGACGACGCCGGTGGTCATAAGCGCAATGTGCCCTTGGCTCGCCAGTTATAGGAATCGTCGGGCTGCCGACATCCTACTGGATGGGTTTGAGCATGGGTTTTGGATTCCTTTCACTTGTCGTCCCCCTTCCCCTCTGGTACGGAACCTTCGGTCGGTCCGGGAATTCCCATGGGTGGTTCGGGAAAAACTGAGTAAGGAGGTGTCATTGGGTCGGATGGCTGGTCCCTTTAGGGTCCCCCCGCTCCCGGAATTGCGGGTCTCCCCCCTGGGTGTGGTGCCCAAAAAGGAGCAAGGGAAATACCGTCTGATTCACCATTTATCGTACCCGAGGGGGGGTTCGGTGAATGATGACATCTCTTCGGAACTCTGCCGAGTGTCTTATGCGTCCTTTGACGCTGCTGTCGCCATGGTCAGGGCCGCGGGCCCTGGGGCCTTGTTGGCCAAGGCTGATGTGGAATCTGCCTTCCGTCTGCTGCCGGAATGTCACCATCTTCTGGGCTGTGTTTTTGAAGACCGGTATTACGTGGATATGTGTCTCCCTATGGGTTGTTCCTTATCCTGCTTTTACTTTGAATGCTTCAGTACATTCTTGGACTGGGTGGTGAGGAAGGAGGCTGGGATAGACTCCTTGCTACACTA